GAGACACAAAAAAGAATAAGTCATGATAATAAAGGCATAAAAAAAATGATTCCGTTGAAGGAGACACAACAATAAAAAAAGAAGAGCACATGAGAGAGCCATGTCTTACCATAAACAAAGAAAAAATTGAATAAATGTTAGATTAACTAGTGTTTTAACCAATTCTTAATTTTTTTCTCCAAACAAAAAAATACCATCAATAAAGTCATTGATGTTTCAAATATTTGTTAATTGGATTCTTTTCTCCAAATTTGTTTGTATTTTTTTCTCAATTTTCTTCACAATAGTGTTATTTTGATTCATAAAATATGTACATTAATGGCACATATTAATGAGAATGGACAGCAGGACCTCAATGAGGAATTTTTTTTTCTTTTAGATGAAATTGAGGACTCACTAATGGGATAAAGACGATTTTTTTTTTTTTTTACATAACTTGGAAAGCAAAGTGGCATAGATACTTTTTTTTTTCTTCCAATATGAAACTATGATTCTAAAAAAATTGATTGTATTATAGATTGATGGTGGTTAATTGACTACATAACGATCATAATTAAATAAGTTAAGCAATTTGGTGAGCCGCACCAACTAATAATAATGCATCCTTTATAAGAGGATGCTAAGTCAAATCTTGAGAATTCGATCAAATAAAAAATTAATGAATACATCTAGATGGTATGCGTGTAGAGTATTCCTTTTGCAGTCTATTTTTGTTTTTATCTTTTTGTATCCAGAAATCATGAGAATTTTAGCAGAATGTTAGTTGCATGTTGGGTGTCGAGGCAACAATGATTGTTTCATTTATTTATTGATTATCCTTAAAAAAAAAAAAAAAAAAAAAGGTGTTACAATCATTTAAGTACTTAAGATGAATGGGTTAAATGATGAATAGCCTCCAACTCTATTATTTCAATTAATTCACCCTAAGGTTAACCATCCATAAGTTTCATCATGAACAATGATGTGCTTAGTCACCTACCAAGATTCATTTATCAGTTGACAATTATGGATTTAACTTGATTAAAGATAATGGAATCCACAAAAAAGGACTATAATTATCTTTTGATCACAAACATGTTGCTGCTTCATCTCTCAACTCTAAATATGCACTTTATAGATAACAATTTTTCAGACGAATTTTATGTAGATATACAAAGTTTTATTATTAAAATTATATTTATTAGAAAAAAATTAAATTTTATAACTTTCATTCTCAATAAAATAAATGAAAAAAATTCCATTTTTAATGTAGGATGAGATTGCGCGAGTACGTAAAAAAAAAAAATCAGTAATTGCTGATATAAAAAATGTATATACGTTGACAAAAGTTTAGAAGAAAAACAAGGTTCCCATAATTTGATACGATTAGTTCTTTAATGGGTTAAAAAATATATTAAAAGCATAAACGAGCAATAATTTAACTCGTATTAATATTTTTTATTTTAAAATATCTCTAGCTTGAATTTTTTTGTTCTGTGAAAAAAAAGAAGTATAAGGAAACTTGTTTGTAAATATATTTAAAAAATTATAGAATCTCCAAATATTGTCTTTTTGATGGCATGTAATCAATTGCAAAACTTGGGAAGTTAAAATCTGCCTCCAATTCTATCAAATTAGTTGATTTAAATATTTGCCGTCCAGAAATTCGAGCATTGCCGTCCTTTTCTTACCAGAACTATCCGTACAATTACATGGGACGTGCAGATGCCACAGGAAAAAGAAACAAACCAGTAATTTACTTCCTACCTTTATTTGTTTAGATTTTCGAAGTTATTCAATTTGACAACAAGTGGGATTTATGTACTCGAATGACGTATTTATCCTTTCAATGCAGAGCAGGAACCACATCACAGTAATAATAATATAAAAAAGACGCTGACTGTCGTGAGTTTAAAAAATTCAACCTGCAGGCTGAACATAAGTTAGCGTTGAAACATCTTAAAAAATAATAAATTTAATTTAAAATCAAGTTATATATATATATATATATAGTTTTAGCATTAGCATATCAAAATCATAAAAAAAATATTTACCTTTTTAACTCAATCTATTTTAAAAAGCATTTTCAAACGGATTAATTTTTAACTAATTTTTTTTCACATTGACTAATTTATTGAATTGGTAAAAGTACAAGAACTATTATGATAGTTTTTCGTAATATATGTTGTTGAACTATTTTTATGCTATAACATAGTACTCAAAAAGCTAAAAGACTTCAATTTGTAGCATTGGATTTGCTGCCCAAACATGCTCTTATTCTATATGTAGTAGTGGATATACGATTAAAGAGCAGGTATTGTTAATCTAACAATAGCTCATATCGTTTAAGTAAATAATTTTGAATTCGAATTTTTTATATATAAAAAATTTTTTGGATAGTAGTATTTATCTTATGTATTCAATCGAACAATAAATGATTAATTTGAAATTTTAAGCATATGATTTATTGGGAATAAAAAAAAGTAGGTAATGCTAATGAGTAATAATAATAGTAAATAATACATGTAAATTAAAAACTTGTTTTTAACGGATTGTAGTTTTTTACCTTTTTTTTTCTTACTTGCTTTTTTTTGGGGACAAAAGTCACAAAAAATATTAGAGCAGTGAAGGGTATATTAGCAAATAAACTGAAAAGTAGAGGTCAATAACTAAGTATGAGGAAATGTGTAACGATCAGGAGTGCGTGGAGGCAAAGCTAAACCGAAAGTTAGGGTAAAAGTGGCAGACAGAGAGCCAAAGAAAGTGGGTGTTACTATTATATCGAGAAGAGAAAATGGATATGGGGCAGTCACGGACCGGTGCATCTTTTTACCTGTTCCATGATCTTTGAAGGCTGTGTTTGTTCGCAGGAAAACGTTTCTCCAAACATCATATTTCCTCAACTCTTTCCGTGTTTGGTGTAACTTAGGAAAAAACTAGATAACTATGCTTTGCTTGGGGAATTTATTTGTTTTTTTTTTTTTTTTTTACACATCAAATGATGACAATTGTTTTCCAATTTGTTTTTCATAACACAGTTGAGGATTGAAAAATATTTTATTTCCATGGAAAAAGCTTTTGATGGAATTTACTCTTCCAAAAACAATCACAGCCTTAATTAGTATAGATTAAGACAAATTATTCATAAAACAATTTTGAAAATGAATCTTGAAATTGGTTTAAATTGAACTTATATCCTACATGTATTATCAATAATAGTCGTTTTTTTAATAAGAAAATGAGACTTTAAATAGCACAAAACAAGAAAAAATATTTCACATAAAAAATTAACAAAAACAATGTAATTTTTTTTTCTAAGATATAAACCAAATACCAAGACAAGTGAAATTATCTTGGATGGTTGAAAGAAGTCCATGATAGTTGGTAAACCGTAAATATATGTTTGGATACTGAATTTGAATACCATTATCTTCGAAAAGCTATAAAATCTTTTCCAATAAAATCAATAATTTTACTTATATTCATATTAACATGAACGACAACATAAAAATCGATGTGACATAATAAAATTAATCTTAACTATTAAAATAATAATTTTAAGAATAAAGTAGTTAGAATATCTCAATATTTGTAGAAATTAATTTTATTTATTTATTTATTTTGTGATGAGGCCTTAGTTTTATTAGTGATAACACTTCGCTTTGAAAGATGAATTTATAGGTTAGATTCTTTAATAAGGAGGAGAATCTAAATTCGCAAGTACTTAAAAAAATATTATAGACTGATTTTGAAAAAATCGAACCAATTAAATATTTACATGTAAGAAAAAATTATATCAATAAATTGGTTATAATTTTTTTAATTAAATTATTATTTTTTCTAACAAATAAAACTATTTTCTCCTGCAAAAAAATAATTCTTTGGGCTTATTATTGGTTGGCTTTTCAATTCACCTATTCTGAGTTGATAAGCCAAGATTAGTGTAGAAAAACTACACCAAAAAATAAAAGTTTATAACACCCTTTTTTTTAATTAAAAAATAAAAGATATCACGGGATCAACTTACACTTCAATTTTTATTAAATCTTCTCGAAAATTTTTAATAGCACACTCTCACGTAGACCTATTCTGAAGGTTCAAACAAAGAAGGCCAACGAAAAAAAAGAAAAACCATTTTTTACGATCACACCAATCCTTTGAAATAATAAGTATATTAATTTTAAGTCTTTTTTTTTCAACCGAGTACATCAATTTTTATTTTTTATTTCAGTATATTATTTTTTAAAATACCAATTAAGTTTTTTCGTCTAATGATGATGTGGCAATTAATAGAAAAACTAAATGATTATGTTTTTTTTTGTTTTTTTCTCTTCCCAAATTATTATTATTTAATTATTAATTAAAAAACAAGCAAAGCAGTTGGTTTGCTATTTTTTTTAATTAAGCTACTTTGCTTTTTTTAATAATAATAATAATTTGAGAAAAGAAAAGAAAACAAAAAAAAATATAGTTATTTAGTTTTCTATGTTAACTGACGTTTCTTTATTACATATAAAATAAGACGAAAAAAATTAATTGATATTTTACAAAAAATTGATGTACTAAAAAAAATAATATATTTAATTAAAAAAGTTTGAAGTTGATGCCCTTATTATATAGTTTTTTCAAATTATATATATAGCAAACACTACCTAATCCAAAAATGGGGCAGGAATTAAACAATGAATACAAACTTTCAAACGGACGTTTTTACCCCTCTTGTTTTCAATTAAATACTACATGAATCATCTTCAAAATATGTGGATATATGGAGTAATTTCGTTTCTTTTTCAATTTTCAACGCTAGCTCCACGACATCCCACTCTCTAATCCACGTGTCCTCTCTCTATCTATCGGCTTCCCTTTCAAGAAAAGAGTAGAAGAAGCTCCTCTGAGAAGAACCAACCCCACCACCAGAAAAGAAAAGGAGGTTTTGGTGAAGAGAAAAGAAGAAAAATTTCAGGGTTTTTGCCCAAAGAGAGAATCTGATTGCTTGATTTTGGAGGTTTTGAAGAAGAGATATGTATATAGGGTCTGTGAGAAAGTCCTTCAAGGACTCTCTTAAAGTGCTTGAAGCTGATATTCAGCATGCTAATACTCTGTAAGTTGTTCTCCCCCCTCTCTCTTTTTCTGGGTTTTCTGAGTTTTTTTTCTTACATTTTGTGTGTGATTTTTTTTTTCTGAATTTTCTTTGATGGTTTTCTCTCTCTCTCTTTTCTTGGTGTAATTGGTGTTATAAGAAATGAGTTTTTGCATATTTTTTTTTCATGTTATCACTGATGATTTTTTTTTTTTTTTTTTTGTGTTCTTAAAATATGTTTTTGTTTGTGTTGAATTTAACTGCTTTTGTTTTTTTGTGTTGAATTTAACTACTACTACGACCTTTTTCTTTTCTTCTTCTTTTTTTCAAAATGAATTATATGATATTGTCAGTTAAAACATACACAGTCCTTCCCCTTCACCTTTTTTTTTCCGCTAATAAAATCTGCTTGACAGTCTAAATTCAAGTTATTTTTCGTTCTCCCAATCTCTGTGCTGTTGCAAGTCTTCTTTGTGTATTTCAGTTTTTTCAACATGGAATTTTTTTATGGCTTTTAAATAAATTGGTTCTTCCGGTTAGCTCTTGAGTTAAGACTTTTACTTTGTGTTTGGCATGGCTACATTTCATGGTAAAGCCAACCATCAAACATGCTAGTTTCAATTCCTGGATTATTTTGCCTGGTTCGTGGTTATGTAGTTGATTCAAGGAATCTCATGGATAAAGTTGGGAACTTTTCTATGTTATCCAATTAGTTGACATGGCATTTCAAAGATGTCCCAGTTGAAAACATCTATGTGGCTTTTGCAATTTGCACTTGTTTTAGCAATTGGAAGTGATTTTATTTGTGTTGGAGGAGAGTGGGAGCTAATTTCATTATCTTGATAAGCCGAGTTTACTTGGCTTCACATGATTTATGGGATCCACCTCATTAATGGATTTATTACTTATTTGTGATTCTTTATAATGCTATGACGGTCGCTGGGTAGGATTATCTACTGCTGGCCCCTCCTCTTGCCTATCATGTTTCAATGCAGTCGCATATTTAGGTATGCTTATTAATGATATTTGGGTCATGGAGATGGTGTCATTTGTAGCTTGAGTTGAGTTGTGTAAAGGACCATCAATCCAGTTTATTTTAAATCTTTGGAAGCTGAGGACTTCAATGGCTCCATAGAATGTTCAATATGGAATTTTTGCACAGAGCATCCTTTTAATCAATGCTCTCTTTTTTTTCCTTTTTTGTTAACAGCATATTTAAAATGTTTTAGAACTTTGAAGATAAGTCCTGCAAATTCTTGATTAATGTGGACTCATAGGCCAAAATGGTCAGGGTGAAACTAAGGTGGAGATGCCAGGCTCTGCTGTCTTTTGGGTTTTAAAATAGTTTCCAGAAACCTCTGGATTGGGGATGGGGGTTGTGTTGAAGTATTCTTTGAATAGTTTCATTGTGTCTTGTACATTTTACCGCTTTCTTTGTCTTACTGATGAGAATTATGAGCTAACTATCTCGAATCTGCTGCTAGATTTTTTGTCTCTGTTTAAATTCTTATCTTGCAATGTTTGGTGCAGGGCGTCAGATTTTTCAAGGGATTATGATGGAGCGTGTCTTCAGATGAGAATGTCATATAGTCCAGCAGCGCACCTGTTTCTTTTTCTTGTTCAGTGGACAGACTGCTATCTTGCTGGTGCACTTGGACTGCTAAGGATCCTAATTTATAAGGTTGAACTTTGTCCATTTGGATGGGACTCTGTTTTCAATTATTAATTAACTGAATCATAGGAAATTCTGAACTTGGTTGTTTCCTCCATACCTCAGGTTTATGTGGATGGCACAACCACCATGACTACTCATGAAAGAAAAGCAAGTATCAGGGAGTTCTATGGTAAATTTCCACATTCCAATTATTTTCACGTGTAATTTGTTTATTATCCACCTACATTAGTCCCTTGATGTTTTCTTAATCTGCATTCTTACCATGGCCAGCTGTAATTTATCCCTCTTTATTGCAACTTCAAAGAGGAGTCACTGATACAGAAGATAAGAAACAGAAGACAGTGTTCATGGAAAGGTACCGAAGACGAGATGACGAGGAACATAGGCAGCATGCTGATGTTGACATTGAAAGAGAAGAAGAATGTGGAATATGCATGGAGATGAATAGCAAGATAGTACTGCCCAACTGCAACCATGCCATGTGCTTGAAATGTTACCGTGAATGGTACTCTCTCACCCCTGCCTTCTTTTTTGTTCCTCCTGAAGAACTCCTTTCTGAGAGTGGCCAAGTTTTTATGTTGACCACATGGCAAATGCTTCTATAGTTCTACTAGGCTTTCTTCTTGTCCTGATAGATAGTGCAGGTTCTTGAATGAGATAATGAGATATGGTTGCAATAGCTTTCTCTTGGTAATTAGAATTGTTTCATTCTGTTTCATTTATGGTTACATTTATCATAGTGAATCCCTGACCAGGGAAAGATATTGTGTTCTTGCACATGGCAGTAGACTTTAGCAAGATCCTTGACATCCTATCCTGGCTCTCAGAGTTGGGCTGTGGTTGCAAAGGAAATGCTATAATAACTGTTGTGCATTGAACTGGATGGATGCCATATCAGTGGCCTGAAAGATTTCCACAGGTTCATCAGCGAACCATCTAAAATGATCTTATTTCTGTTTATGAGGAAACATGAATAAGTGATCCCATTGCTCTCTTTTTTCGGTAATGTTTGGCAGGTAAATTTAAGTTTGAATTTTGTAAGAATTTGATAATGATACCTTGCAGCCTTATTTGGCTAATGCCTAGACAGTGAAATTGATTCTGCATTTTCAGGCTTGCTGGCTCTTGGGTGCAAAAAGCCTTGTCATTCTAGTCACTTAAATAAATTAGTTAATTTAGCATGCCTGCCCTTCAGCTCATTATCTTTGTAACCTTGATGTATGATAGGTTTTAGGTCCTTGTCTTTGTCTTGACTATCATCTTTCTATCCTCGTCTCACTATGATACTGGTAAAGTACATCATTAAGATGGAATGCATAGTTGTTAGAGCTGCTGCAGGCTGAGAATACGTAAGGTTTTTGTGTCTGGCTCTTAGATGACCCACCTTGAATCTCTCATCAGTTGAATGTTGTTCTGATTGGTTTAAGAAATACGTTTTCTGGTTGGTGTATTTGTCAGATGCAAGTGGTTAGCTCTTTCTCCGTTCTATGCCATAAGTTGGCTGTTCCTTTGTTTCTTGATGTTTTCATTATCATGGCAGAACATAATGGTCTTTTGCCATGAATTGCAGGCGATCAAGATCCCAGTCATGCCCCTTCTGCCGTGACAGTCTCAAGAGAGTAAACTCTGGAGATCTCTGGGTATTTACTGACAGCAGGGACATTGTGGACATGGCAACGCTGACAAGAGAGAACCTAAGAAGGCTTTTCATGTATATAGATAAGTTGCCTCTGATTATTCCTGATAATCTTTTTGACTCATACGATTCCCACATAAGATAGGCGAGATAAGTACAGCCCACAATAGCCATCTGCTATGGTCTTTGGATGAACAGTACTACTACCACCCTCCCGTTTTCTTAATATAACATAACCACTGAAAATTCAGTTAGCAAAATTTAGGCCACATGGAATTTCAGTGCTTTCTTCCCGCTTCTTGTCAGAAGAAAATCCGACCTGAGTTATTGTGGGGTTGGTAGGTGAAGTCGAGATAGTTAAAAGATGCGGTTTTATAAATTGTATTTTAGCACATTTGTAAATGCTTGTATAGCCTGAAGCTTGCTTATCAAAGCTCTGCAAATTCTCTCTCCCTCACTATTATCTGTGTCTGGGAGAACAAAAAAAATCTCTTCTTGATTCACTCTGAACTTGGAAATTGAGAGTGGAACTTCTACTTTACTAGGTTGTTCCTACAGCTTAAGAAAGCTCCATTTTCCCTACAGGACCACAATGTCATGTTTTATGGGCCTTTTCCATCCTAAAAGACCATTCTGAATCCAACTTTTTTGGGTGAAAGTCTACTACATCATACACGGACACGGTTACAGAGCGCTAATTTTAGCGACGGCCATCTATGATCTATCTTTCGTGTTGTGGCCGCGGAGAAGGAAAAGGTTGGAGACGCCCTCCTAGTTCCTGCTCTAGAGCAGGATTGGATAAGGATACACTTGTCTCCGGTATGACTGCAATACTAATCAAAATGTAAAAACTTGTATCAAAATAATCATTAAAAACATATAGCAGAAATTATTAGGTACTTGAGATTTATAAATAATTTTTATGCTAACTGCCATGTCTATAAGAGAGGAAGGACCAAAGTATAACTTCAAAATATTGAATAATTCAACAAGTAGATTTAGAGTAGTTTAAAATATTTTAAAACTTGGGATTTAATGATACCATTGTCAAATTCACTTTCTTCTTCTTAGTATTATTATTGTCGTTATTATTATTATAATAGTAATAAGATTCATCATTCACGTATCTTTTCCCTATGAAAGGGGCTTTACTTACAGCCATTTGGTTGATATGATAAAATTAAATATACTTAGGTTACTAAAATATTAAAAAATTTGAAGTATAATTTTTAAATATACTTAGGTTGCTTACAGCCATTTGGTTGATACAATGTTTGTTCGATTTGGAAACCTTTGATCAATGAAGTCAAAAAGTGAGTGATTGGCTCTTGAGGTCTCAGCTCAATGGTGAGGTTGAGGGTCGTTCATCGATGATATTCGAGTTCGATTTTCTCTATGCATGTTTGTCACCCTCGCAGTGTTTTATTTGTTCATTGGGCTTGCAGGGTGTTCAATGAGTCTAGGGATTAGTCAAAGTGTACGTAAGCTGACTCAACATTCTAAGTTATAAAAAAAAAAAAAAAAAGTGAGTGATTGTTCTACAAATTGTGCGGATGGAGACTTTCCCAGGTCCCAAGAGTCTGCTGTACTGCACAGGTATAGCTTTCAGGTTCTCCTGTTCAACTTTTGGTCTGGAGAAACGGTTTTAAACTGCTTATCTTATTAAAAGAACCGATTAATAATTAATGGGTAATGAGCTTTGGACCTGCCAATGTGAGATCCATTAAGTTTTTCTATGTAGGGTTCATATTCGATCGGGGTTGAGCCTCGCATTGCACAGTGCAACTGCGCCCTCTCTTGCTTTTATTCTATCATTTTTATTTTTATTTTTATTTTTATTTTTTTGTGAATGAGTAAACTAGGATCTTGGAAGAAATATCAATTCACCAAACTCAAATAGAAAGGAAGTAATGGCTAGCAAATCAAGATATGTGAACTGAACATACAATTCCTTCCTTTAGCACCAACTATAGAGATCTATCCTACCTTCTCAATTTTTTCTTCCTCTTTTCTTGTTTCTTTCTTTACATTTATGACTTGTTTTCTTCCAATAAAATCAATGGCAATCGTGTATTTCTCTGTCATTCTAATTTTTTTTTATATATAAATTTATTATAATGGTATCGATGGTTGAGAAAAATAAAAATAAAAGAATGATTGAAAAGAAGAATAAAAAGCAATTTGAGAACAAAAAATATTCAAGTAAGAACACCTCATCACCACTCTAACGAAAAACTAATAAAAGAATTAAGTTATTGATGAAATTAAAACTTAAAAAACTAAATGATTAACCTTTAAAATGAGAATTAATGACTAATTAATTTGTTTCGAAAACTAGAGGGACTAATTTATAATTTAGTCTTTCAATAAATATGAGAATAAATTATAAATTAGTCCCTCTTTTTTGGAAAAACAAATTAATTAGTCTCATTAGTTTCAAAATCTAATTATTTAATCTTTTTAACTAGTATTGACCAAGATTCATTTAATTTTATTTAATTTTATAAAATATATCCTCTTCTCATCAATCTTTCCATGATTTTTACTTCTTCTTTTTTTATTTCTTAAAAAATAAATAAATAAATAAATAAATGACTAAGTGATTGAGTTTTAAAACCAAGAGGACTAATTAATTTGTTTCTCAAAATGAGAGGAACTAATTTATAATTTACTCATAAATATGAGGGCAAGATGAAAGGTGCATATCCGGTCTTAACCTCGCTTTATTGCTATCCAAAAATGGTTAGAAAAGTCTAACCATTCCTAAATTTTAAGTCATTTGAAGTTGAGTTCCTAAACTTTTTTAATAGTTTTGGGGATTCATGAACTCTTCTTTTTTTAGATTTAATCCATCCAATGACTTTCATTTATCATCTTCCCTTTTTAAAAATTTAATTTTTGGTATTTTGAGTTGAAATTTTACACACACTATTAAAGAACCATCTCACCTAAAGGCTTAAGCTAATAGGTGAGGTCCTAGAATATAATTTATACTAGTCTCTAACACACCCCCTCAAGTGAAAGACCCAACATTTGAGGCATGAAACTTACACGAGTCTATATTGCCTTGTGCTTAATACTTGAGAAATTGGAGATGATGAGACTTGAACTCGGGACCACATGGTCAACCAAGCTTTGATACCATATTAAAGAACCATCTTACCTAAAAGCTTAAGTCGATAGGTGAGGTTCTAGAATATAATTTATACTAGTCTCTAACACACACCTTGAAAAAAACCAATCCACTTTGGACAAAAAATCCATAATTTTTCAAAAGAAAAGGCTATATTTGTTTATTTGTTAAACATTGAAAATATAGAAAATCATAAAAAATAGAAAATTAACTCTAAAATGATCCCAATTTTTTTTTAAAGAGCCCCACATAGATTTTACTTGAATGATTTTCATTATGAAATTATTTTTGTGATTGTTATTTTTTGAGATAAATAAGAGAAAATTGAAAGATGGACTAAATCTGAAAAAAAAAAATTAAAGATCTTTAAAACCAATTAAAAATTTAAAATATTCAACATTAAACGACTTAAAGTTCAAGAATAATTAAATCCTTTTAACCTTTAAAAAATTTATGCCAATAGGCTCGGGTTCGGTTGAACATATCACTAGTTCAACAATGGATGGTGATTGAGTTGGCAGGTCATAATATGAATACTAGCTCAAATAAATCTTAAATTTTTAGGAAAAAAAAAATAAAAAAAAAATATATATATATATATATATATATATATATATATATATATAAGGGTTTTAATTTATTTTTAACCCTATTGAGTTCCACATGACTGATCGGGTCAATGTCCTTGCAACTTGATCAATGTTAGGTGCACATGTGGTAAGTATTTCATATTGAAAAAAAGAAAAGATAAGCTTATATATAAAATGAAATTACAATTTATTAGTTGAAATTTTTAGGTTAAGATGATGTATATCCTTATTTATAAATTCTAATGTGCGTAGATTTAAGTGATTTGGTTAGACATCTAATACAAAGATATGGACTGATTTAAGTTTGAAAATTAAGAATTGGAGCACATGTTGTGTAGTTGTTTCAATTTTTTTTTTTTTTTTTTTTTTTTTTTTTTTAATCCTTAGGTTAGCTATCACTGAAAAAACAAGTGTTTTTTTTTAAAAAAAAAAAAAAATCTTCCATTTTCTAATGACTTTATGATATATATGGACTTTGTATCGGTCAAGACTAATTTCGTCCATAATTGTGTTTTATATATAAAAAAAAATTATTAACATTTGAATTGGTGTATCATAGAGATTATCAAAAAAAAGTTCTTATAACCTCTACTATATGGGTAGAACTAAAATTTTAGAAATGAGGGTGTCAAAAGAAAAGTTATTAGGATCTAAAAACAAAAGTAAACTAATAATGACTATAGAATACGAATGAGTTTTTTTAGAGGTGCAAAATATAGGTATTCTCGGAAATAAGCCTCAAATTCAAGGCTATAATTAAAAACATAATAATTAAAAGTCGTAGCACCAATAGAAAAATTTTGTCAAATTTTGAAGGTGCAACATCCCTTAGACATTACTAGGCTCTGCGTTTTTTTCATTTAAATCATAATTTTAAATAGCAAATGAGATTATAAAAATTATTATAATTACGATCTGAGATCATAATTTATTATAATAATAAAATCACGATGATGATAATCGATATCGTTAATGTATTAGCATGTTAACAGTTGATAATAAATTTATTTTTAATTCATATATTTTTAATAATCAATAATACTAATATTTTTAATTGTTTAATATTAATAATAATTAAATTTATTACAAAAAAAGATTATAACACTCTACATAACGATGTTGCATAATCATAACAATAACAATAACGTATAATGTAATTATTTGTATGACTCATAATTATATTTTTATAACTTCATATGATAATAATAAATATGTGGGAATTCGTTAAATAAATATGCTTAAGATTTGTAGCGAACAATAAATAATAGAATGGTGAACAAAAACAGCTAACAATGATGCTCCAAAGGATAATGACTTTTATAGCAAAAGTCACATCAATCACTATCAAATTTCCGTAACACAAGTTGAATTACTGAGTGCCTCGAACACAAATCATTAGTTTTGCGTTGTTTCGTATCCAAACCAGTTCAATAACGACCGTTTTCAGATTGAATAGACCGGCACCATCACCGAAACCCTCATATGCCATAATGGCAGGTATGTGTGAGGAGGGAGGCACATAAATTTGTTACGCAAAAATCTTAAATGATGAAGACAAGCGAAAGCCTTTCATGTCAAGGGATTGGTCCCATTGGCCTCCTTGTTGTGGCAGAAAGAAAGAACATGACTCGCGTCAATTTCTCACTTCCAGCCAGTAAAAGCCCCGCAATTTCAGATACAGACACCAACGTAGGAGAAAGAGGATAGATACGTGATCATGTCACGCTGACATGAAAAATAAAAAAGAAAAAAGAAAAAAAAGCCACCGATAAATTCTCTAATTTATTTTCTTCTTTCTTTCTCTATTTTTAAGCCACAGAAACACACCAGGAAGGAAAGAAAAAATCTTGACTTGACAGAAAGAGAGACAGAGGGAGAGATGGGGATGAGAGAGGAGATGGAGCAGAAGGAAGAGGGAGTCATGGCAACTGACTTCTTTTGGTCTTATACGGATGAACCTCATGCTTCTAGGAGAAGAAAGATCCTCTCTCAATACCCTCAAATTAAAGAGCTTTTTGGACCTGATCCCTGGGCTTTTTTTAAGGTTTCCTGCTCTTTCTTACTATGCATTGTGGCATTTTTTTTTCTTGTGTTTCGTTTAATGCTTTTAGATCTAAGATAATGCTGGTGGGTTTGTGGGTTTAATTTCGATTGTTAATGTTGTTTGTTTAAGTTTCTTTATGCGTGTGAAGCTGTTAGTTTTGTTTGCTAATTTCTCATGTACATTCAATTTATTAAAATTGAACTATTTTGGCTTTAGATTCAATGACATTTTGTTTTTCATGAGATTTTTCTTTTTGGAGAGAATTGAATTAGGTGTTTGTTGTTTGGCTAGATTTGATGGAAAGTTTTCATTTTTTTTTGTCTTGTCAATCCTCGTGGGATGTTTTTTCTTTTCTCCTTTTGGGTTGGAATTTCTTTTGTAGCTTGATGTTTTGCAAGTTCCAAAATAAGCACTTGCTTTACTTGTGTATGACCTAAAAAATTTATGCTTTTAGGAATTTCTGTCCCCATTATACACTATCTGTTTGGTTAACAATGCTTTCTGGAAAATTTCTAGTATTTCCTTTTGTTTTGTTCTGAATTTCGCATTTGCTACTAATTATGTGAATTCTCCCCTATATATATATATAATAAGAACCTCTCAAATTTACCAGGTTATTTTTTTCTTACAAATATGAAGCCAAACACATGTGAACATATTGTGGTATGCTTTTTTCTGCACATAATCCACCAGAGCAATTACTGCCATAGATTTCTTGTTGTTTACATGTACATTATTCGTATTTTTACAAGAGCAGAGCTTATGTCTTGCAACTTCTTTCCATAATGCTTTGTATCAGTTTGACCCTTTTTCTTTTGCTTTGTTGAGAGTATGAGAATGTTTAGTGTGTTTTTTTTTTTTTTCTTCTTACTATTTGTGCATACAATCCAAATGGGTGAAATAACTGGATAATAACAGAGCGGACCATTTAAGCATTGTTTTCTGAACAGGGAAATGCATATAGTTACCTTTCGGTTTTGCATAAAAGAACTTAGCTCTCGTTCTTAATTTCCCTGTCCTCTATTTACTCAAATATTTATTGACCGGCCTTTTCTCCTCCTTTGGTTCGACTTACTTTGAAGCTCCGAGGGGATCAAATAAGGCATTCCTCTGATCGAAATCATGCAAAGTTTTATATGGTTTTAAGATATTTCAAAGTAGATTGTCTCCTCAAGGCACTCTTCTCCTTCCTTTTCTACTAGGGAACAAACAATGTGTCTGATGTAGGCCTTGCAATTCCAATAATTTTTCTTCTGTGGGTTGGTTTAATTTGTCCTAATTCCATTAATGGGATATATAAAGATATAAACAGTGCTTGGAACCTGGGTTGTTGGATCAATTATGGGTTATTTTGATGAAATGCTCATGCTTAGTGAAAATTGTTTTGGTTACTGCATGCTCTTTATATGGTTCATGATCTCAATGTTATGGTGCTGCAGATTACTGTGGTTGTTTCACTTCAGCTTTGGACTGCTACATTACTTCATGATGCTGGGTGGCTGAAGATTCTGGCAATAGCCTACTTCTTTGGCTCTTTCCTCAACCACAATCTTTTCTTAGCCATCCATGAGCTCTCCCACAATCTCGCCTTCTCGACTCCAGTCTACAACAGGTGGCTTGGTATTTTTGCTAATCTCCCTATTGGTGTACCCATGTCTGTAACTTTCCAAAAGTATCACCTTGAGCATCACCGCTTCCAAGGAGTAGATGGCATTGATATGGACATCCCAAGCCATACTGAAGCCTATCTTGTGACTAATGCTGTCACAAAATCCATTTGGGTTATGTTGCAACTCTTCTTCTATGCTTTGCGGCCTCTGTTTCTCAAACCAAAGCCCCCTGGCTATTGGGAGTTCACTAATTTTTCCATTCAGATAGCCCTAGATGCTGCCATGATTTATTTTTGGGGCTGGAGATCTTTTGCTTATTTGATCCTTTCCACATTCGTCGGTGGAGGTATGCATCCAATGGCTGGTCATTTCATCTCAGAACATTATGTCTTCAATCCAGACCAAGAGACATATTCGTACTATGGCCCCCTTAATTTTCTAACTTGGCATGTGGGGTACCATAATGAACATCATGATTTCCCGAGGATTCCTGGGAACAAGCTTCACAAGGTGAAGGAGATTGCACCAGAGTATTATGAGGGCTTAGAGTCACATAAATCTTGGAGCCAGGTCATATACATGTATATTATGGACAGGAAAGTCGGACCCTTTAGCCGGATGAAGAGAAAGGTTCCAAGTGCTACTAAGAAATCTGAATAGGTGCTCCCATCTTTGTTACTTCATCTGTTCTGTCAAAAGAAAAGAATCGCTATTGTTCATCCCAATTTGTGAGTATTTGTTCTATTTTTTAGTAGTTTTAGACTAAAAACTGATCTGACTATTTATTCAATCTTTAATGAAGATTCTTTTCTTTACTTGTTTGTGGTCAAAACTTTTGAGATACAATTTGCTATTTATTTTATTGATTTTTTGTCGGGAGACTGGAATTTCCTTCCTAAGGGCATTGAATTTGTTTGGATGCTGAAATTATTTTTGTTTTCTGAGCAATCATTTTTTTTTTTTCAACTCACACACTTAAGGCTTCTAATAGAACTAGTCTATTAAGATTTGAATCTGTGACCTTTTGTTGTAAGAGATCACCATCACTGGACTACAAGCTTTTTTATTTTTCAAGCAATCATGTCCTAGTACTAATTGTTGCAATTCCGGAAGGCCTGCTGCTGGTTTGATACTGGACAATAATGATTTGAAGTAGCAATCTACTATGTTCTAAATCTTTCGGGGATTTAAACCATCAAAGATGTAGAAATATCCAACATAAACATTGCTAACAATTTCAAATGTGATGCTCACCACAAGCTAGGTGTTTCAATTAAAAGCTTCAAAAGGAGCACAGAATTCTAAGTAACTAGTACTATTTAGTTCAACAAAATGCCTCCGGTTATAGTTTTAAATCGTGGACGATTGAAAAAACGGTCAAAGTTGCTATCGCAAATTGTAATTTACTATAATACTAAAATGATAATAACAGAATACTCTGAAATCATTACATAATAGTCATTGTATAGCGTACTGGTTGTTATTTAAAACTATGGGCTGCAGCTTCCATCAATTCCATCTCGAGCTTCAAACTCTTTCACCAAACCTAAATGTTTTGTCCCCGTAATAATGCATGGCCTCATGCCTCTCGTAATGAATTGCATTCACCAAACCTAAAAGTTTTGTCCCCGTAATAATGCATGGCCTCATGCCTCTCGTGATGAATTGCAGAAACTATGGTGCTGTTTTCTTCACTTGTTGGTCTGAGAAGGATGAGAAATAAAGAGAAATATTATGTGCCTGCTGCAACTTATGCAATCAGTAAAACCTGTAGTTAACTGAAAACGAATCCTTACATTCCATGCATCGTTCTTGGTTGAAAATCGTGGTTCACCAACAACGTATGAAGGTGGTTGTAAATGGGGATTGATGAGTGGAAGTCTGGCCGGAGAGAATTCATCATCAATGTCATATTTGGATCCGTTGTTGGGTCCAAGAGCTTTTAAAGCCATTGCTAGTAACATGGAAAATCCCTGCAGACGAGAGCTCTAAAGTATGTGAATAGTGGGGTGCTAATTCGAAATATATTGCTTAAAGATTGTGCCTAAACAAAATCTTCATGATTGTTCTTTTCCTTTTCAAAAAGGAAAATGTTCATCAACAACTAGTTAGCTTGCAGCAACTTGAAAACTTCTTATGAAGGACTCAGTAGAATGTCAAAATCAAGCACTAGGAAAGTACCTGAGCTAAGACGATAAACATGGCTATCCATTTGAAGAAGTCCAAATTAGATTCCACAAATTCTCTGAAATCATGGAGCCTCCCTGTCGGATCCTCAGGTAAATCCTAATAGAGAAACACTGAGTATAAGCCTGAAAATACCAAGTACGTTTATCATGGAAGATGGGAAGTAGAAGGAAGTTCAAAGAGGCAACATACCTTCTCCCAGTCAGAATTTAGGAGTATATCTGCTGCAACTAATGTTTCCAATAAGAGAAGTAAGAAGATAATTACCATGTACTATGTTCTATTAAGACCAACAACAAAGTTCTGCTTAGCATGAACATGATTGGATTCTGAAATTTCTTATTATTTGGATTCAATCGAGTTGAAAAAGGATACACAAGAAAGGCAAAAACAATTCGAGCTATCTGCAGAAATATGGCCTAGGCATGTAATTAGGCACAAGGTAACCCCAATGCCGAGGAAAGTGAGTATAAACCTGCAATTCAAGAAGAAATGTTAGCAAGTTCAGAAATTTAAGTAATTATATAGAAGTCTGGTTTATACGTGCACAAAGAAGGGAGACTGTTTAACAATCATAAAGTATCAATCGATTTTTTCTTGAAGTAGTGAGCAATAACTATTCCTAGATTCATAATCAATTACTCTGCCAAGAAATTGCCAGAAAGCTCTACCCTGCTACAAGCAGCTTTCGAAGTTGGTGAAAAAGAACCTTTAGCCAAAAAATCCTCCTTTTCTTTTATGGGGATATTGTTTCAATTATGTGCAGAAGCAAGTATCATCAAAATGATAGAGCAGCTGCTATGGGACAGTACAGTGAAAATATTCAAATGATGAGATCAAACAAACAAGAAACTCAAGCTTAAGGCATTCTAAAGTGAGAACCTTTACCATGGAGCAGTAGAATGAAAAACATCAAAAGATGAACCTTCCATGTCTCTCTGCCACTCTCTGCCCATCCAAAAGCCATAGAGAACCATTGCTATACCAACAAGTCCCAGTGTCGAATTCACAATTTTCAATATTGACTGCAGACAAGTCCTTGCAATTCTTGCCATTGATTACCCCTAGAGCTGATACTCCAAAATGTTGCAGAATTCAAAGAAGCAAACACAAGTTTAATGAAGAAAATTTCTTGCAAAAGAAAAACTTGCATATCCTACTGGAAGACATAATTAAAGAAAGTCATTTTCAAAAACCAACATAACAAGTAATTTCTTAAGAAATAAATTCTCACTGACCAAATGGAGAACTGGGTCTTCTTCTTCTCAAGTGGCAAGTGAAACTAGTACGCAGAGTTTCAAACTTGGATTTTCTATTTTTCTCCTTCATGTCCTGTAATGGGATGTGATCACGGTGCTTAACAGAAAAGAGCCATAATTGAATCATGATGAAGTGGGGAAATTTCTGGGAAACCAGGTGTTTCATAGTACTTGTCTGGACTCACTTTCCAAGTTGGCAAATAGTGATTGGAGTTCTTATTATGTTTGTCGTTAGGTATAGGAAATGGACAAAATTCTTAAACTGACATGATGTTACCAAGCAATCAGAATAGCATTTTTTTTATCATACCATTACCTATTTATCTATGTATTATAGAGAAACAACAATAAAATTTCCATTATACTGAAAAAAAGAATAAATTCATTGAAATTAATGGTTTTGGTTCATCAAAATAGAGATGGTTGACATTTTTCATTGATTAAATTAAGGCAATTTCATTATCAAAAATCAACTGAATTAGGAAATGTTTCTGAATCAGGAATGTTGGAAACACAACAACTCAAAGAAACAGAACTAACCAACAGCAATCAACATGTATGACTGTTGCAATTTCCAGGAACTAAACTAACAGGAATATTGACAATTCTGCTTAGCTTCCTGATTCCTGAAGAGTAGTTGTTTTCTTTAATCTGCATTGCACCATATTGACAATCTTGTTGACAGTAGAGTGATCAACACCATAGTTCCTACTATTTCTCTCCTTCCCAAAAATTTGAACATATGCGTACAGCATTCCAAGAAATCCTGAGAAAGTACTACAGATAGAAAGCATCTTTTTGAAGATCTCTTTTTGCCCATTTAAACTGATACAAACCATTACCAATCTGCTGTTAAATTCACATTGCTGCTGAAGACATTCCAAGTAGATTTGGTAAATTGACAGGTGAATAATAAGTGATGAACATCTTTTGAATGGGCATTACATAGCATGCAAGTAGGATCAAGATTTCTTCCCAAACGAACTAGTCTGAGCTTTGTAGTGAAGCTGTTTAGTACAACAAGCCGATAGAACGTTTTCCTCCTTTTTGATGATGACAAACCATTAGCTTCAAAACAACAGAAAGATGCACTTAAAGTGAAACAATTTGACTCCCCTTATCGAAGTGAATATCATATGATGGAAATGCATGTTTAAGGCGTGACTTCCACCAGCACATTAATGATTTATCTAATGAAGAATACGCATGCCTAAATAAAATCTGAAAGAGAAATCAAAATGCAATGCTGAAAATACATCTATCAATCATAATCAAGAACATAGCTTGAACAAGCTATTTATTAAGCCAACTGAACCTGCAAGAGAGTTTCAAATTCTGAACCTGAAGGTCATCAAGCCGTCTTTGAAATCATACGTGATTAACATTCTGATCGATCGACCATCATTTTCTTTGTTTCTTTGATGAATGAATCAAATTTCATTTATCAGTAAAAGAGTAGCAGGAGCCAATCCCGGGTATAGAGCATGTAACAACAAATACAATCAACGGTTACATCAAAATCGAATCAGATTCCAATTGCAACAAACATGGAACAAAAGATACTGCCCCACGCATGTTTTACAAGATAAAGAATTCTGCAACCTATTTTTTTTTATGAAAAAAAAATAGTTTCAATAGAAGACTTTTGATTCTCATGCCATCTTAAGTTCTTTTCTTGCTAAATAAAGCAAAGACAGGCACACTAGGAGATCCTCAATAACACAAAGAGAAAGGATTTATTCTGTGAATTCCATATGGCCATGTGAACTGTTGATCCTAATCTCCAATTTGCCTGTAAATGTGACAGTTCTGTTCAACTTTAAATCAAATTGTCTTAGAAACAAGTCATTCAAGGATTCATCAGCTTGTTTGCAAAGCACACGAGCAGGGTCCATAGCTGATAGCTCTGCCTCTTTTGATGATTCTATCTTTAAAAAGATGACCTGTTCAATATCTTCAACAAGACTAGCAGATTGTTTGGGCTCCAGGATTTTTCTTTCGGGCTATCAATTTTTATTGCTATAATCTGAATAGAGCTCTGACACTACGTTAGAAATTCTTTTTGTGAGGACCCTCTTGAGAGGGTTGCTTAACTTTTCCTGAGCTCAAACTCTTGCTTGAGATTCCATTACACCTTACTCATCTTAGTATATGCATGGGTTCGCACCAAAATAATTAACCGTGTGTGACATTTTTCGCTCCAACAGATATGCATGCTTATTCTCAACCACTCATGTGCTTCCTTTATAGCATGGCCCCTAATGCACACCTGCAAGCCTACAAAGCATAAACTCTGCCAACACTTTCTCTGCATTAATTCTCTCTAGTGATCCTCCACAGGCGAGCATCTAATCAAAGACTGCAATTTGTACTCTACTGGGATTTGAACTGCTCGTTGAAATGGTTTTCAATCTCCACAAATCAAAAGCCTTATCAGAGTGTTAAATTTTATGTTGAAGTGCGTTGCATTTTAACTTTTATCTATATTAAAAAAGAAAGCAAAATCCAACGGTAGGGTTGCTGTGGTGTAGTGGTTATCACGTTAGTCTTACACACTAAAGGTCCCCAGTTCGATCCTGGGCAGCAACATTTTGGGTTTTGCGGTGGACAATCATGATTTGTACTTCTATATTTTTTAATAGGCGATTTTAAAACCATGCTGGTATTTCTTTATCTTCTTTCCTTTGTTACAGTTTAGATATTTTGTCTGAGAGGATTTTTAATGTGCTTATGATGTATTTATCATTATTTTATTACTTTAAAGTTTTCGTATTGTTAAAAGAACCTAAAAGGTAAATGACCTATAAGTTTTATCACATGGTTGTATTTTGTAATGATTAATTTGAAAACTAACGTATGTGATATTGCAGTGACAAACAATTGATCCAGGGTAGAAATTGCAATCCCTTAAAACTGTTGAAGTCCAATTTCATCTGTCACCAACATGACCCTTGAGAGATTGGAACTGAATTTGCTTCATATGCTATTATATTGGATTGAATTTCAATCTAAAAATAAAATGTACAAAATACCAATCCACAACTAAGAAAAGACTTGTGACTGCACGTTATGAATGACTAAAACCCCACTAGAAAAATCACAATGAGTGACTCAACCACATGAGTTTTAGACTTCTAATCAAACATGCCGATGTGGACACCACAAAACTTATGCCTGCTTTTCAGATTCTAAGAGTGTAGTAAGCTAGAAACCTCCAGTTTTAAAACCAATATGTACCCATCGAAAATAGTTGAAGAAAAGTCTATTATAGGATTACCGAAAAAAAATACCACCAGAAATAAAAAGAAATAGTTTCTTTATACAAAAAACTAGCCCCTGTGAATCCTAACCGTTAAAACAATAATAACGAGAAGACAAAGGCCAAGACCATGTAAACCTTTCCAAGTTGTCTCAAATAATGCAATACAATTTGCAACTGTCCTTTGTATTAAATAAAAAATCTTTCCCCTGTGGTGATTGGTACATAAAAATTTAATATACACGAAACTCATCTCTTTGTGCCAAATAATAATTATATATATTAAAAAAGAAAAAAAAAAAAAACCTATTTCATTGGTTGTAAGCACGCCTTGCGTGCCCTGGGTACACAAATTCTCAGAAGGCATAACCTCGTTTTCCTAGATATCTAGGAAAACAAAGATCGATCCCGTAAAACTCTATACTACTGGAAAATCAAACTGAGATCACCAGAACCATTTCTCAGCAGGAAACCCTATATTGTAAATGTAGCATGCCTCTTTTTCTTGTTGCACATAGCTTTAGCTTGTTTTTCTTTTATCTAAGTAGGTCATTGTCTCAAACAAATGGATAACATCTGCCTTACTACTTTTGACCGCGAAGAAACTCTCGCATGTTCATGTGAATTTCTGCCTTCACTACAAGCCGCATTTTCTTTGAATCTTCCCACAGCAAACTATTCCACTCCCGTGCAAAGTCACATGCAGCCTCAAATGTATCCTGCCGGGCCAAATAGCCAAACTCTAACATAACAGAACATAAAGAGTCATGACAAAAGAAAATAAAATGAGATTCTTAAGATTTACCCTAGAAGGGAACTCATCATAGAGATGAGATGAGGTCATCTCAACCCTGTTCAGATCTGCTTCCCACAGTCTAATCTGTCAAACAAAAAAAGAAAAGACTTTGCTTACAACACTAATTAATAGAAAAGCACATTCGATTTTGTTATTGATGGACTGCCAGAAAGTACAGATTTATACGACTTCAACCAATGAAAGAAGCCAAGAATTGACTACATATTTGAACATATTGATGAGATGACCTGATCAGTGACATTTTCAGGAACTGATGGTAGTCTCTCTGCCACACGAGGATGAGCATTCTGCTGAAGAAAAGAAATTATCTGCAAAAGAAATGTTGCAACAGTTAACTGAACCCAAATTGCTTCCAGAGTTACAAATTAGAAACAAAAAAGAAAATAACATTCCTTACAAAATGAAATAAGAAAGATAATAATATGTCAGTGTTCCAATACAACAAACAAAGAATCACCTCCAAATGCTTGATTTTTTTTCTCAACAAAAAAAAAAAAAAAAGGGAGGGGCACCCCCAAAGGCCTTCTTCCTAAACAGAATAAATACTCAGTTGACATGTCAGTGATATGGATAAAGTATCCTGTTACTTGCGTGCTTCCCACCAACAGTATTAAGGACAAAAGCTGCAATCTGGAAGTTGTCTCTCAACATATTTTGCTTCATTTAGAAAAATTATGTGGATGCAGGTTAACACAGTTCATGCAAATGCATTAACATACTTGGAAATTTTTATTGGATATAAAAACTCACTTGGTCTGCTGTGATGCCATTGTCAAAAGCTGTATACAAACTTTCTTTTGTTATTGCTCCAACTATAAGGTTTGGAAGTTGATATTCTATCCTGCATATATAAGCAAACCACACATTCTATTACATAAACAACATTTCAGAGTTCTCCTGGTTTCATTGACATGCAATGGTTCCATAAAACAGAACTTCTTTCTCAGAGGAAATAAGTTTTTGCCAAAAAAAGACCAAAGAAAGTTGGCAAGGAGTGAGCTTCCATACTTCGAGAAAAGACGTAGAATTTCACAATGAAGCTTAGATGATGAGTATGCATATATCCTAAAGTTGGTTTCTACAACAACATGTCCCTGAAAAGAAGAAAAGAAATGTAATTAGAGACTATAGCAAAAGTTATATCCAGCAACTTTCATATTCAAAAAATTCGAGGCTGGAGCTCTCGGAAAAATAGGAGAATATCCAGCCTCGGTTCTCAGGTTTAACATATACAAATAGTTGATGGGGCACGTTGGCAGCAGCCCAGATGTCTTTAGAAGATGTTCTAAGAATAATTCCAATGCTCAAGCACTGATTTGGCACGTGGCTAATGATGGAAAACTTAGTTGCAGACTTGAGTAGTTGATAAGGGTATTTCGATAATTTTATATCTGCTGGAAATCTGGAAATTATAATATTTTATTTCTGTTTAAGTATTTTATTTTCTTAGTCCTAAAGTTATTAGGTTTCCTATTCTAAATAGGAATCGTTATGTTGGGGTTTAGAAATCATTGTCCTAGTAGGATCTAGACTTCTACAACTCTATAAATACAGCATGTAGTCTTTCAATATTTTCAACACAATAATATCAAATAATTTCCAGCAATTTGCTTTGATTGAGTGACTCAATCCCCTCTTAGGTGTGACTCCTAGAAATCTATCCACATACTTCCTCATAATTCCACTAAAAATCCACATCAATAAAGCCCTAAACAGCCTCCTAATTCAGATTCAGAATAGCCCATCTAAGCTGTTCTGCATCAATAGCAGATGACACACTATGGCTCTGAACTACGATATTTCAATGGCAACAAAGCTAATTACAACAGATCAACCAGTTAAATCCTGCATGCCCATTTAGAATGCAGGTGTACATCTCAAGCGATAGTACTATTCACTCAAGTTATTGAACTTGTATATCTTTAAATATCAAATTAAGTATGTAAACAAAATGTAGTTGCCTAAGTGTACTCCCAAATCAACAAGAGAAAAAGTTGAGGGAGATAGTAAAACAGCAACACAAGCATTATTGCTTCATGGGAACGAGTCATATGGGAATTGAAAATCCACATTGACCAGATAATGAAGCCTTCTTCTTATTTATAATCATGCAAATACTATATTTTATTCCAGTAAAGCCAAATTGAGTGAAGTTTGAGGATTTTGAATAGCTTATTTTGACCAAAGAAAGGGTATTGAACTTATAATTACTAACATATCCATCTATTTGATTGAGCCAACATTGAAATCATACAGTGGCATGCATGATAACAATCACCATGAAAAACATGCCAACCAAAATCATTAAAGAACTGGCAAACTGCAAACAAATAAGGCAAAACCAGGCATTCACATTTTGTATATGCACTGAACATGAAGTATACCTGTTTCCGTGATGATGAATCTGTTAAGCTCACTGAAAGATTGGTAGCCAATTTAGTAGGTATAAACCAACTCTCTTTCCTTCCCTAGAAATATACATGCAAATCAGAAGCGCAGCAAAGTAATACTTTTTATCTGACAGATGATTAGCACATTAAGAACCCATAATGGTACAGACTTAGAATAACCTGCTGAAGTTTAACCAATCCCAAGTCTGCAAGTTCCTTGATAGCATTCCTCTGAATCTCAGTCAATGTATTCATATTATATGCCTAAATCATGAAGCAGAAAATATAGCACATATAGTAAGATTCCTCATGAAAGTTCTAATACAGCACTCAACTAACTATCCAAAAACAGATTCTGCTAAGATGTGGAAACAGTCTGCACCAACATATTTTAACCAGATGAATGCTTGTTTCGCAAACCGACTATTGATGTCCGATAACAGTTACCAATAAACCAGAACATTCAATACCTCGCCAGTGACATGAAAGCTAAGCTCCAGCAGAAAGGAAATCAGATCTGCAGGATCAGTACCTCGCTCCTGAACCAAAAGGCAGAGGGCTTGATACATTAAGAGATAAAGAATCTATGTCAAGTTGCACTAACCAAGATATATACCCAAAAACAAACATGCGGAGTAGTATAAAACTCTATCCTACCTCAAAAGAAATGTTGCAAGTCAAATGAAACAAGCCAAGCCAATATCTAGCTGTTTTGAGAATTTCCATAAGTCAATACAAGTTGATGCAGATTCAATCTCAGCCATTTTGGTTAACAAGCTAAAGAATAAAACCTGGTCATTTACTTTCCCTACCTTCATAATTTTCATTTTTTTCTTAAAAAGGGTCTAGTTTAAAATTACTTTAGTAAAGACATCGAGAATTTTTTTTAAAAAAAAGATCAAATGCCATGTAAGATTCCATGTTACACCAATTTTAAATTTACTTTTACAAGTTCTTCAAGCAACATCTTGAATTCTCCAAAAGACATTGATATACAAGCAAGTTGAATTTATAACAGAAGCAATCAGAAATCCAGTGCCAGCTAGGGCAAACATCAACAAAAAGAAAAAATTTGAAAGAATTTAATGAGTACATACCTCAGAATTAGATATATAGTCTCTGATGATGTACCACAATTGTGCATTTGTATCCATCAGCTGTAATTACACAGATTCTAAGAATTGCAGATTCCAGTAATAAACCATAAGAAGTGCAACTACTTCTGATTAACATGATGCATACCAAAAACTGAAATCCACCCTCAGTTAATCTTGGAGCATCTTTATCCCTGCACAAAAGGCAGGTACACATCACAGCACAATTCCAATATGAGATTCAGGATTCCCATTGTCTAAATGGACAAAAGAAATCAATGATTAAACTCGAGGGAAGAAAATAATACCTCTGGGTCAAAAGACCCCGCTGGAAAATTCTCATCATAGATGAGCTCAAGTTAGTAGGCTTTTCTGCTTGGCCGGAACTTATAAGATGCAGCAAAAAACACTGATTTAACACAATGGCAATTCACAAGTGAGTAGTCTAATCACGATTCATGAGTCTCGTCATATACCAACGCAAAAAATCAGTGATATCGATTCATATAACAGTGGTTACCAAATAGGAACTAGAAAACAGTTTTTTAAACACACCAGTGCAAATGAGATGGATAATGGAAACACAGAGATGAACTTCCCACCTCCCATTGTTCATGTGCGTAGGTATCCAATTCCTCCAAGCTTGGGAGTCTTACAGTTGAAGCCATTGGTTCTCTTGGCAAAACTCCCCTGCAGTATCCAATGTTCAATTATTATTGATAACAACAACAAAGGAAAATGACATAAAAAACACAATGTTCAAATAAAAAATTAGCAAACGCAAGAAAAAATAACAACCAAATATAATATATTTTTACACTTTACCTATTAAGAAAAGAAAAGAGAAAAAACACTAAAAACTTGAAAATAGATAATATTATACTACAAAGAAGCTAGAAATGCAAATATACCTTACCCATTTGTTAGATGCTTTTGTAGATTAACCTGAAACGTCTGGTTTAATTTATAACTACTCTCCCTTTTCCTGCCAGCAAAAGGCAAACAATATCAGAAAGAGTAATACTAATTTCACTCCCCTAAAAAAAGTCTCATAAATTGAATGAATGAACGGGTCCCAGTAGCAGTCCGAAAATCTAATCCCAGAAAAAGTCAGGAGTAAAATTATCTAGCACTATCACATTGTCATTAAAACTGCTAAACAAACAACATATCAACAGAAAAACGAAAGAGGGGGGGTGTTGGGGGGAGTGGGCGGTTGGGCAAAGCTTTGACTCCCAACAAAATTTACAGTAAGCAGAGATTTTGATTTTGATACTTACTTGTCAACAGCTTCAGTGAAAATTCTCAACTGAATCAACCGATCAATAGCAACTTTATGTTTCGTAACCCCATCAGCAAGCACCCATTCCTCCAACAATTTACCTGATATCGGGCCGTCAAAAAACAACATTTGCACCACATATTTCTTCGCTAAAGGCGGCAACGACCTAAAATCATGGCAACAACAACAACTTCTCTCATTTATTGATAGATCAGTGACAGAAATTAATTCATAAATAAATAAATAAAGCAAAACAAAACCTGAGAATGGCTTCGCATATGAATGCGTTTTGATAAAGCCTGTCGAGTTTCATGGCTGGTAAAGAAGCTACCATGTCCATGAAATTCTTTGCAATGATTCTCACTTGAGGCATTTTGATTTTTGTTTTTAGGGTTTTTGATTGAAGGGGGTTTTATTTTTTATTTCTAACAGTTTTGGGGTTTTGTAGCAGTGTAAGTGAGTACTGAAAGCGGTGTCGTTTTGACTTTTTTTCGTTTCTTTTTTCCTCTTGTTCTGGTTCTGCTGTTAGCTGTGAAGTTTGTTTTTTGATCGTAGCAAGGGTCGGAGCAGAGAGGCTTTGTTTATATGAAGAAGGGTGACTATATTCTAACCCTTGTAAATTCTGTGATATCTCACTTTAGTCCCTTATATTTTAAATGTTCTGAATACTACTTGGAGTTTTCGGAAATTCGTAAGCGGTCCTTTTCCTTTAAATAGCTAATGGCAATACCATTTTGGTCAGTATTTTCAGGCTTCTAAGGAGGATTTTTGTGGAATATAGTCAAGACTATGGGATTTTTGGGAGGAAAATGTGAGAAAAGAATTAAAATGTGAAAAATTGAGCATTAGTTATTTGACAATAAAGAGTCGTATTGAAATTTAAAAAAAAAAAAAAACTGTAGGATTAATATTTACAAATGCCTAAATGGAGCCCTACTAAAAAATATTACAGTAGCTAAAAGTATAGTTTCCATATAAAGATTTTTTTCCAAAAACATTGATTGAATTGAGCTTGGTTTAGCAGGACACGGACTTTGACTCTGGCAACTCCTTGAAAATCCGGTTACAAGGAGCTAATTACTTGTGAAATCCTCTGTTCTTCCCGCGAAAATAGTTTACCTTTAACTGGATTGAAGAGGAGGAAATTATCTTATGACTAGTCATGGCATAAGCTACTTCAAATTCTTTGAATTTCTTATCAAGAGTAGATGGTAAAAATCCATCTCTCAGTTCGCCAAGCAACTCATTGGCTGAAGGACAGATTCCAATTTGGAAAATCATAAATCAGCACTGCTGTTATTACATCAAAGCATGATAAAATAGGACAGTTCAAATTGCACAATTATTTGATAGAACATGTGATCACATGCTCCAGTGCATTTTCTTGAGAAGTAAACGGCAGTCATTTCTGCTAAAGCTCATCCTCAATGATTTTCGCATCTGTTTGATGAATTAAACAGAACCTGGTATATTTTCTCTCAACGCCTTAGAGGATACATTTTTAAAGCATGCAGCTTCCAAAGTAATCTATGCCTGTAGGTGTCATCAGCAAAATTGAAAGGTTATCAACTTTACAGTTCAGTTATCCAAGCTATCCTATCAAAAATCTGGGAAACCACATGTTAAGTGCCATGAAGCTTCAGGAACCGAACAAGGGACAGATACGGAACCAAAACCGTAAGCTTTTCTGCAAACGGAAAATGAGCCCTGAAACTGGAAAGATCCTTAACCAGAACCAGTTCGAAATAAGAATCTTCTCTCAGACTATTTAGTTAACAAATTAACTAGCACTATTTTTTCACTAATAGGTCTCTTCTCTTCACCCAATCTTTTTTGTTGCTATGCAGAAATGCACGGCACATCTTCAGTAGGTTCACCCTCCTTTACAGCTTGTGGAGGTGGTTTCTGAACAGGAGGTGGCTTCTCAGACGGGGGAGGATTGCATGGCCTGTTTGGACGAGCCTTATCGACTTCCTCTGGGTGAATCTCAAACTGCAAGACACAAAGTAATAGCATTGCATCAGGGAAAGAAAAAAGACGTTGTGCAATACCATTTGAATTGTTTATAAACATAGAGAAGCAATATAATCTGCAACAATGTCATTGCAGTCTCAAGCTAGTTATCAAATACCAATCTCAGATCCACAATGATAAGCTTAGAGACATAATGTGAAAAAAAAAAAAAAACAAGGCCTTACTCTGGAATCAATTTACAGGGTTCTGCAAAGACTAAAACAACATGGCATGGTTGTCATAGCATATTTTAGCATCATGTTCACTTGCAGAATAAAGAAGGGTTTGATGCATCATACTGAACTATTAACAACATGTGAAATTCATATTTTTCCCATCAAACAAAAGAAAATCTTTCCACTACCACTCAAATTTTTTCCCTAAAGCTTTCTACATGATGCAGTAATAAACAAGCTTTCTGCATAACATAGTAAATGATTCGTGTACTGTCCCATATATTCCGATAGCCAAAGAGCTGCATTCAGAATTCACGGGACTACCTTCAAATACATAAATTTTACATGATTCTAATGCAACAAAAGACTACTTGTGAGAAGAAACTGACCTTGTAACCACAGCCAGCTTTACAGGCTTTGAAACACTCCTGTATAAGGGAAAGGATCAATGAAAAGTAAGTAATAAAATCATATATTTAACACAGAATCATTAATTACATGCATGCCAAAAGTTAAGTCACATCTCAAAATTCAACCAGGTATAACCTTAATTATATATTGTATGCATTAAATTACTCAATTCCAAGACCCATCTTAATAACATGAAACTATACCATTTTTTAATATTAATACAGCTTTGTTCAAACTTCAAGGATTAAATGAATCCTATAGTGGATAAACATGGCTGAAGTGATTAGTAATATGTAGCACAGAGCCATCTCATATAGCAACTTCTAAATGGCTTAGGAGATGCTTATCCTCCCCAATCCAGTAAGCAACTGAAGAGTTGCTATTGCAATATCCAGTAAGAGATATCATTGCAATGTAGAGGCCATTTCTATGTGGCTGGGAGATCAGAGGCAAGATGTAGGTTGGACTGCCATCGGTTTAGGTGCTTGTCAAGCTCCCTAAACTCCAGTAGCTGAAAGAACGGAAAGCTGGTGGGTGGTATATGCATGCAGGCTTCAATCATGATTTTTCATATTGGCCAGAAATAGAAAAACATGCCATACTGAGTCCAAATGAAGCTATTTACTGATCGCTCATGGTCTTTGACCATTACTGACAACAGTAGACTTGCCAATTTCTACATGGAACGCTACTTTTAAATAATAATCAAAGCAGAAGCCTGATGAATATGCAAACAAAATTTTCATATTTTTGGAAGGAAGTCAAATGAAGGTAAAGCTTTTTCTTTAAAATTCAAATAAAACTTATGTTGGGGGCCTGGACCACCCCTGTAGATAGGGAACTGACAAAATTGGATGATTGTCCCACTAGGTAGCCTCATGTTAAGTCTTCAATATTATAAGCCACATAACAACCAAAACGGTCTGAAACTTCCATGTGAAACCGAATCAAAAGAAGAAAATGTCAAAAGACAATATACCTCGGAGTAACTGGCAGATCCAGGAGATCGGTCAATGTAGGCACTCCACTGCCGGTCCTTGAGTACAGGGTCCTTGTAACATATTTCATTGCACTCATCCAAGCCTGAAAAATCCAACAAAATTAGCATTTACAGATTAAATTATCCACAAACAACATCAGGGTTTTTTGGCAAGTCGACTTTTCAAGCTTTTTTTTTTTTTTTTTTTAGGTTTCTGTGCTGGCAAGAAAGTTAGCTAAACTGAACCAAGAAAGAACCTAGAACACATTATTTTTTCTAGTAAGGAGAAGATAATGCAGGCATGGTCTGTTCTTGTGCATCAAGATAATAAATTGAAATACCATGATGATGAATTCCATCATCCAAAATTTTCAGCCAAAAGCACCATACTTAAATCCAATCTATTGAGACATCAATGAAAAGGCTGAATCTTGACTTATTGAAACTTGGAAACCAAGAAGTCCAGTTCAACATATCCATAAACCACAACTCCCAAACTAAAGTAGCAAAAATTTACACCTAAAACAATCTTTAATAAAAAATGGCAACAAAGCAAATGAAAACTCACAATCTTCCCACGTTTCCCCATCAGCATCGCACCCCTTCTTGCAAAATACTCTCCCTGTGAAAATCTATGCCACTGATTAAACTGATCAAACCAATAGTTTTACATTAGAGAGAAAACAATATCGATTCAGAAATATCCATTGGCAAAAAATTCAAAGCATGCACTCCTTTACTTTCATAGACTATGGTGTAATTCAAACAATCAGACAAACATAAGCCGGACAGGAAAGGAGGTTCGCTACGTACTACCTTATTCAATGGACCAAAAGAGCTTAGAAACGGCCCTTTCCAACACCAACAATGAAGAACTATCAATTTAATCACAATAAAATTAACAAAAATAAGCTTCCCTTTAATTCTTTATTAAAATATGGTCAAAGGGTTGGCTAGTGATCAAGGAGGATTGCTCCCTCCCTTGACTTCTTGAGTTTTTGAACCTTGGGGTCATGCACCAGGCCTATATGGGGGTGTGTCCTTAAGACTGCTCCAGTACCCCATGCCAACGCATAAAAAAAAAAAAGTGGTAAAAACCGTTCCTTTCATGAACGTTTCTTTCATCTAATGCCTACTTTATAATCTTAAACAACATAATATAACAGTAGTAGTTACATAATCTTTGGTATAATCACGAAATTAAATAAATGAAAATAAAATGCAACATTACTGATAAGGCATATAAGAATAAGAGATCTAATATGCAATTATTGAGAGATAATTCGCAAGGTAAAAGCAACTTAAAACAATTTGAGATAATGGGTAGAGAGAGAGAGAAAGGGGTTACATGGAATCTGCGTGAGAGCTGAAAATTTTTGTGTGCATTGGCTGCCACAAGGTTGAGCCCATTGTTCTGGTAGCATCTCTCTCTTTCTCTCTCTTCAACGCTGCTTCTTTCTCTCACTAGCAGGCAAGCAGAACCGCAGGAAGAGGAAAACGAAGAGGGGAGGAGGAGGTTCCTTTATATATTATAAATAGGGGTAAGTTTGTCATTTGGGTTTTATTACAAGGATTCCGGACAATTCTTGTTTGTTATGATCGTCGGGTGTTTTGTGGATTGGTTAACAGCCAACGAAAAACATGTGTTTTTTTTTTTGGAAAAATATAAAATGTGTTTTAGCAAATACTAGTGATATGCATCGGGAAAAAAATAAATAAATAAATAAACTCGTTTTGACCTAACAGACCTGACTGACTTTTTTTTCTAGTATTGGTTGCAAAGTATTTTATTAATCCTTAGGATAAATCACTCGAATAAAGATAATTTTGCTAATACCGTTTGTTAAAATTGTAAGTATATTTTTAAGGTTTGGTTTAATTTTAGTTACATGTCACGGTTAATAGAATTGAAAAAATGTAAAACCTTAACCATTTATTAACCTACTTTTTAAAATCCATAAATTAATTCAGATTTAGTTATTGGTTTATTAAATTTTTAAAAGTATATTGATTTTGTTTTAAATGATAAGAAGAAGATTTATTTGACTTGAAGTTTTATATTCAAGTCATTACTAAATTATTATAACTTTTGTTCTAATACATGTAAAGTAAGATTCTTCCATATTGCATAGGTATAAAAAACCCGTGAGTTTAATACATTCAAACTTTATATAATTCAAATTTTTTTTATTGAAATTCTTTATAATTTTTCAACTTGATTGAAACTTTTTATTTTTATAAATTTATTGATTCAGATCTTTCATCAAAATATGCATCGGGAAAAAAATAAATAAATAAATAAACTCGTTTTGACCTAACAGACCTGACTGACTTTTTTTTCTAGTATTGGTTGCAAAGTATTTTATTAATCCTTAGGATAAATCACTCGAATAAAGATAATTTTGCTAATACCGTTTGTTAAAATTGTAAGTATATTTTTAAGGTTTGGTTTAATTTTAGTTACATGTCACGGTTAATAGAATTGAAAAAATGTAAAACCTTAACCATTTATTAACCTACTTTTTAAAATCCATAAATTAATTCAGATTTAGTTATTGGTTTATTAAATTTTTAAAAGTATATTGATTTTGTTTTAAATGATAAGAAGAAGATTTATTTGACTTGAAGTTTTATATTCAAGTCATTACTAAATTATTATAACTTTTGTTCTAATATATGTAAAGTAAGATTCTTCCATATTGCATAGGTATAAAAAACCCGTGAGTTTAATACATTCAAACTTTATATAATTCAAATTTTTTTAATTGAAATTCTTTATAATTTTTCAACTTGATTGAAACTTTTTATTTTTATAAATTTATTGATTCAGATTTTTCATCAAAATATGCATTCTATGTGACGCGTTTAAATAACAATAACCAATAAGATTAAAACACGTGACATTGTGGGTTCGATTTGTGAACAAAATCAATTTTTTTTATTTGTAAATATATATACATATATTAAGTTCTATTCCTAAACCCATAGCCGCCCACCTTCAGACTCGCTCTTTCTTCTCTCTCACAGCCACTATACCCACATCTCATTCTCTTTTCTCTCTCACAATCACCTTCTCCTAACCCAACTCTCGGACCTCACCTCTCTCTCTTTCTCTTTCTCTTTCTCTCTGCCACACACCAATGAATCTAACAACTTCGTAAATAAAATCACTTTCTCTCAAAGAGATTTTTTTGGGATGTTAAATTTTTTTTTATGAGAACTTGCAAATTGCATCTAATACCATGAAAAACAATATATATATATATATATATATATTTCAGCTCATAAAAATTGAGAATTATTTATAAAGTCCAATTTTTTTTACAAAAAACAATGTAAAGATGAGGTTTTTTTTCTCTTGTGGTTGAAAACTAATAAAGAATTTATATTGGTTTCTGCTTTGTTTAATTATTATTATTACGTATTAGTTATTTGTTTAATTATGCCAAAAAAAAGTTATACCTTGAAAAAAAAAAACAAGCTACCTTTGTTTTAGATTTTTTGATTGAATGTTTCTTTGTCTTTGCAATTGTACATCACGGGAACTAGTCACAACCACATAGCTTTTCATTCTTTGATAGCATTGTAGTTGTGATTGGCCAAATGCATGTGAAATTTCAAATTATAAAAAATACTTCTTTTAAGCTTTTTGATAAGTTAACTACCAACCATCTTCATTCTTTAATTTTAGAAAGATTGAATTTTTTTTTTTTTTTACAGAATTAGGCGAACTTTGGGAGTGTTAAACTTTAGCAACGAAAGGATGAAGATGAAGAAGCATTTGTAAGTAGAAAAGTTTTTTACTTAGCGAGTGTTAAGATGAATTGAATTTTGGTAATGTTGAACTTCTTTTTTGGCCTTTTGTTTTCTTTTGTATGTATTTTGTCTTGTTTTCTACTTGACACTTAACGAGTGTTAAGCCTTTCGAATTGTACTAAAAGTCGTGATTGTTCCTACATTTCGGTGTTTTTTTTTAAAAAAAAAACCAATCACATGTATTCTCATCACATAATTTTTTATTCAATACAATTCTTTTAAATTTTTTCATAAAATATTCTGCAAGTACTTTGTAACTAAAAGACCAATCATATATATGTTCATCACGAGTAGGTCTTCATTGTCCCTTTTTGATCTTTCCATCAACAAAAATTAATAGTTCCAAGGACAATCGTTATCTTTGTAAACCGTCATATATCTATAACTCGTCATTCTTAAAAAACTTTAAGTCTATCATACTACGGATGGCATACTTGATCACAACATGACTCTCCTTCCTTTTTGTTTTTAAAAATCATACAAAGCTAAAAATAAGGAATATCAATTGTTAGGTCATACCCGACCAATCCGGTTTTATTTCTTATCCTAGGTTCCTCGTCACTGCTGGAGATGTATTCCTCTTTTTCTTCTAAATTGCAATACTCCTCGTACAATTCAACTTCTAATTTTGCCAACTCTTTTATTAACTTCATTCTCTCTTTGAAATTATTCACATCTACTCTCTCATTGGTGTTTTTGTTTCCAACCAAATCTCCCCTCATAGTTCCCTTTATATTTCCTTCTAAATTTTCCTCAACATTTCCCTCTAATTTTTCATATACATTGTCCTCCACATTTATCTCCATATTTCCCTCCACATTTCCCTCAACAATTCCCTTTACAATCACATTAACTTTACCCAATATTGTTTTTATCTTTTTAACCTTTTCTCGTAACTTCTTTTGCTTCTTCATCATCGGACATCCGTTGTACATCCATCCAATATTCAACATTTGTAACATCATCATTTGGCTCCTCATCTAACTCCACAACGAATCTCTTTATGGATATTCGACCCTCACATATCCCCATACACTAATCATGTTCGGTATCACCTAAATGGACACTACTATCCTCATCAATATTCATAACACTATGCCCTCTCACATGGATTTTACTACCCTCACCTTGTTCCATAACAATAGAAGCCTAACCTTATGGGCAGTACTATCCACAACTTTAACATTAGACACATTTATATCTTCAATTACATTCTCAACTTCTTGCTCATAAGTAGACTTACCAACCCTTTGCCTATGTTTATTGATTCCAAGCCTACTACATATAACTTTTGGGTTATCATAACCAAACAAATGATGTATTGACTCGCTTTTCTTATAATATAAATCAACAACCATTCCATCACGCAACATATTAATGACATGCAAACAACTAATATCATCCATAACTTCCTTAAAAGTCTTAATTTATTGTATAATACACAACCTTACACTTTTCATGGCCACGTTCCTCGACCATATCTAACGGTTCTTTAAATTGTATTAAGTCAAGGTCAATATTTTTCCTCTCAATAACCTTCTCTTCACTAAAAGACAAACTATGATCCCTTTGTAATTCATTCCCAAAGTGAAGCCTTAATATAGATATTGCACCCGATACCCCCATTCAAGGTACATAAAGGCAAACAAATAAAAAAACAAAACAAAAATTAGATAATCTTAAGATGTTATTCTAAGACCACATAATATTCCTAACAACAATAAACGAATCAAACATAAATAGACAGAAAATCTATTAAATTAACAAAACCCATATACAATTATATTGAAAAAAACCCATTCGATTGACAACATAGACAATTCCATTGAAAACCGACATATTAAGAAAATTCAAAAAGATACGAGAATGTTTACCCAATTTTATTTTTAATTAAATAAATAAAACATAAACAAACATAACACCCATTTGATAAAAAACAATATGGACAAATCCCATATACAAATCTATAAAAAAAAAACTCACAACTTAAGAACATTCAAAAAGTTTTCGGATTGCTTACTTGATATAAATCCGTAAAAAACAATGAGAATGAGAGAAAAGGATGGACATAATCGAAGAGTGCCAATATCTTCCTTCATTAACCAAATAGAATGAAAAATTAGGATTTTTTAGAATTCAAATTGATTCGAACATTTAAAAAAAAAAAACATGAGAATAAGAGAAGAGGATGGACATAATTAAAAGGTGCCAATCTCGTCCTTCACCGATCAAAGAGAATGAAACATTAGGGTTTTTTTTAATTAATTCGGACATTTGAGAATTATTTTAAATCAAGAACGAAGAAGATGGAGCGAATGACGGGGAATTTAATTAATTTTTTGATTTAGTTTAGGGTTAATAGGGTGGGGTAATGAAGTCTTTTTCCCATTTTTTTATTAAAAATCTTATTTTTTAATATTAAAATAATTTTAAAGCTCTTTTTTTTTTCAGCCATTTATTGTGACACTTGGAGTCCACATAGCCACGTGTCAATTCTTGATTGATTATCGATAGATTTAACTTGTCATGTATGATAAAAATTTAACGACATCATAACGAAATATCCGAATCAATAAATTTATAAGAGTAGAGGGTTTCAATCAAATTT